AATTCTAAATGTCTTACGTGCTGTATGATCGAGACCGCGTATTGCCATATTTTTTATTCATAATAATTTGTAACACTATTTAAGCTATGACTTATTTATGCCTTTCTTTCTTCTTTTTATTTCTTTTTTTTAATATGTTTTGAACTTATTTTGGTAAAGACTACACTCTTTTGTAAATAACAAAGTTAAATAATTAATGTTTAAAATTCATTCGGATTGAAATCAATAATTGTCATTTCAGGGCCGTAAAATACAATACAAAACGAGACAAGTCGAAGTTTTAGCGTTTTAAATAATTTTATATCCATATAGACAAAATTTGCAAGCACTTGGCCACTTTCATTAAAATATACGTCAAAAAGAAAGAAAAAAAGTCTTAAAACAATGACAAAAGTAGGGATCGAACGACAGACCTCTCATATATAACTTAATCATTCAGTATGATAAGATCAACAAGGAAAGACGGCGTTTATTGAACGCAATCCCCACACGACCCAGCGGAAAGGAGCCAAGGAGGACCCAAACATAAACAGGACAGGGCGCAATGCAGAGCACGGACATGAAGAAACAACAGCAACTGACAAGGAAATAAAAATCAAAGAAAAACAAATAAATGATCGATCAACAGGCCCACCAAGCAACACGGCACAGGGGAAGGAGACAGGAGATTCTGGAAAGGGGGAATAAAAGAAAAAAAAACAGGGGCGAAAGGCAAGATACCCCACCATATTCTTATAAACGAGACAGTGTAAATAAAATTAATCCCCGCCAAGTGAAAATGTCTTAAAGGAAGACGGAGAAACAAGAAAATCACCTACAAAGGCCCGACAAAGCAAGGCAGAAGACGAGCATCAAGGCAATTCAGTTCCAAGAGCTTTAAGAACTGCCCATCATAGAGTCTCCCACTTGGTTAATCAGGTGTAATCAAAATAGGAAAGCGCAGTTCGACGAGTTAATAAGTCGTGTTAAACCGACTATTGCTGATGTGACAAGAACATATACATTACGCTAGTGTGACTTTTTCAAACATTAGTTATATACAATGTACTTGATATTAACTCTCGTAATCTATACGGACAGAACCAAAGTGAAATCGATTATATGAATAAGTGCTATAATGTATTCATTATTGACATGTAAATAAAATCAGACTATATATTATCTTTTATTAAAAAGTACAGCGTGTTTATAATACAAATAAATAGAACAAATAGAATTTGATGGATTCGAACCTTAGAGTTTACGTATATATTCTTGAAGTGAAAAACCTTTACCGACTGCGCTAAGAGAGATTCTTAATTAATTTAGGCCTTTTGACAACTGGTTTTAGACCTGAATATAAACAAAAAGATGATAACATTTATTGAATTTACCGACTATAGGGTCAATATTGTTGGACAATACATGGCATATAGCCTTTCTAAAATAGAATTGTATTGTTTTGCAATTTTGAATTGAGACTTTTTAATTTTTGGAAGCGATTTACAAATTGATTTTAATGGTAGGAAATGTCTCAATATTTTACTATACGCTCGTGATGACCAAGTAGTAAGTCTGATAGCATAACAGTCCCGAAGGTGCAAGTTCGAATCTTCAACAAACTATTTTTTACAGATGTTTATTTATTTTAGTTATAAGCAGGATTAGTGAATCATTTTATTAATTTCATTTAAAAAGATCATAAATTTGATGTATATGTAGATTCATAATTTCAATTTTGTAAAGTCGTACAATAGATGATTGGCATGCACAAAAACCTAGTAGTCAAGTTTCGCAAAATATAAGAAAGATAAACATGAAAAATAAATTAAATTAAGACTTCAACTTAAAACAAAAACTCTAAGCTCCTTTTTGTACGGTGATACAGATGTGACATGTGTGTATTTTTATTTATCTCGTGCACACGAGATATTTTGTCGTAGCCACGAGATACTATGTCGTGGCCACGAGTTACTAAGTCGTGGCCACGAGATAATGAAGTGATGCGCACGAGATGCTTTGTCGTGGCCACGATGTTCTAAGTCGTCATATAAATATTGTAATCTGACTGGTTATTTATCTCGTGCGCACGACTTATAATTAATCATCTCGTTTTCCCGACTAAGTAACTCGTGGCAAAGACATAATATCATGTTCCCACGACTTAATTATCTCGTGGCCACGACTTAGTAACTCGTGACTCGTTCCCACGACTTAACTATCTCATGCCCAAGACTAAGTATCTCGTGCGCACGAGATAAATAAAAACACACACATGCACCTTTGTGCCACCGTATCATTGTGAGGGTAGAACGGCAAAAGTTATACATAAATCATGTTTACCATTATGTCATACTTTTAACCCATTACTTCATGATCATTTTGTGAAAAATGGCTGTTTTCATTGAAAAGTATCCCGTTACAAGTTCAAATTGCTATATAACTATGAAAACTGCTTCAATACTAATCAAACGTGGCACAAATGTTCACTGGACCATTGCCTTTGTAACAATATGCTCAGGCTTAAATTTCCTGTTACCATGACAACGAGGGGACATCTCAATATTGCCAAAAATCACTATTTTGCGTTGATATTTTCCATCAAAATTGATTTTAAAGTGCTGCAACTTCTCAATGGATTGAGATAAAGTCACATGCTTTTCAGCGTTGGTTACACATTTTATTATGATCGATCTGGGGTCATTTTTACTTGAAACTTGAAACTTTGTATTTAATTAAACGCCTGTTTCTATTTAACAATATTCAACGGCGTTGTACAGTACATATAATATAATAAGAATCAACATCAAATGAAATAAAAGCTTTAACATACAATTCCAATTAACATATTTTTAAAAAAATTTAGAGACCTTAAAATGATAAAACTGATTCAAATAGATTAAAAAAAATTAAACATTCATTTACATTGCACATTCATCACACTGTCAGTCATCAGTTATACATTACTCATGTCTATCTCATTTCAGATTTTAAAATAGTGATTCAAACTTTCTGAAAAAATGTGTTTTAAGATTTCTCTTAAATACATCAATATTTTTAGATTGTTTCAACTCTAATGGCAGCGGATTCCACAATTTTGGACCAATAGTTCCGAAACTTCTGTCACTAAATGTTTTTCTTTTATTAAATGGAATAACGTAGCAGTTCTGAGAGGTTTTAGCTGAACGTAGTCGGGTATTTGGTACTTGTTTGGTTAGGAGTTCAGAAAGGTATTTTGGAGCATGACCGATTGAACAATTGTATACAAAAGTCAGAATTTTATATTCGATTCTAGTTTTGATGGGCAGCCAGTGAAGGTCGAACAATGCTTGCCTTGAACTGTCAAATTTCTTTCGTTGCAGAACTAACTTAGCGCACATGTTTTGAATACGTTGCATTTTTTTCAATTCAAAATCGGATACACCATAAAGAATGACATTGCAATAATCCAAGTGTGACATTACGAGTGCTATTACTAGTATTTCAGCTGCTTCTTTGGTGAGGTATTTTCGGATACGTTTTATTCTAAGATAGTTTAACATTGCAGTACGGCACTTTCGTTTGACATGTTCCTTGAAATATAGTGTTTGGTCTAGAAATGCGCCTAAATATCTAATGGACTCTTCGGAGTTGATCTTATCTCCGTTTATACAAATGGATTTTAGGTGACACTTTTCGAGTTGTTGAGAACTTCCAAATGTTATGAATTCTGTTTTCGATGAGTTCATCTTGAGTTTATTAGCGTTCATCCAGTTGTTGATATCAATCGCACCATTTTCTAATTCAGCAATTGCAGAAATTTCACTATTTTCTTCAGTCGGTTTAAAACGTTTGGTTGCAGTATGGTCATCAGCGAATCCATACAACGATAATCCAGATGGAATCACGTCAAACAAGGTTCCCGCATACGTTAGGTAGAGCCAAGGCCCTCACAAGTCAAAATTTTCTTGGCGATGAGGGGGACTGTCTCCCCCTTCAAACCCCCCAAACAGAAGGGGGCACATTCCCCTTCTGGCAACCCCCTGATGTATCTTTTGGTTGGGGCCGCGCCGAAAAAGTGGTCACTTTTCATCAACATTTCTCAAATGAAAACGTGTGTTTTGGGCCCAAAAAGGACATTTCTTCAGTATTTGAGGCCTAAAAGAGGGAGGGGGGTCGAAAGTGCGTTGTTTCGCGTATATATGAGGTAAAGGGTTAAATCAATATGATTTACTTTGGAATCCGACAATCACCGACAAAAAGTCATTGAATATTCAAATGTCTCAGGCCATAAGAGACTACCAAGCATTATTTACAAACCTTTATAACTTTTCTTCACCAAGGGTAGGTTTTCCTCATATCTAGGTTATCCTTCTATATTCTATATAAATGACGTCATTCTGCTCGGTACAGGGAAAACATGAGTAATTGGCTATTTTCAGAACACGTCAGACGACTTTTATTATTAGACTTGGCAGGATGACAGTAATGTTGAGACGTACTTTTATGTGAATAAAAGGTGTTTTGTATTATGTGGTTGATTTGTGCTATTTGTGTTTTTGTGTCCCCGCCAAGCAAAAATTCGAGAATTAACAAGTTAAAATGGCGGGGCGCGGAGCGAAAACACGCTAATTAGCTGGGGCGCGGAACGAAGTTAAATAAATAAAACTTCGCCCCGCTAATTAGCGTGTTTTCGACCCGCGGCCCCGCCAAGCGAAAAGTCCCGCCGTTTTATAACTTTATTCTCGTTCCGCGCCCCCGCGGGGCGAAGTTAAATTTATTAAACTTCGCCCCACGCTCCCGCTAATTAGCGACTTTTCGCATCGCACCCCCGTCTTTTTAACTTTTTAACTTGGCAGGGTCGCGGGGCAAAAACACGAATGACACAAATTAGCCACCATGGTTTTGTTTAAGTTTTAAAACGATACAAAACCTTTTTTTATTTTTTTTATTTTAATACAATACACATGTATGAGTACAAAATATAGTATTTCGCAACTTTAAAACAAGCATGCAACACGTCCTATTGCTACATAATTAATTACCAAGTATAATCTTATGTTAGTGTTCATCCGTGCTGTTTTAGAGAAACTATAAACTTCGACGGGAGCATAAAATATAGTGAAGTATACAATGTCTAAAATGCAGTGATACAGTTCCTCAAATATATATATATATATAGTTAACCAAAACATAGTCGTGTGTACAATTAATTTTAAAAGCAATACAGGTATGAAACGTATCTGTGCCGCAGAACCCTTTTATGAAAAACAATGATGTAATTTTTTCGTCATTAAGAAGTAAAAAATTTTTTTTGTACTGTTTTTGTTTCTTTATTAAAACACAAGTCGTTTGTTTCATAGGAACATTGTTATTCATTTGCATAAGATATATGTCATTATCAGTTAAGTCTTTGTTTATCATAAACAAACCAGTTTATTATACTTACTACAACTGGCATATATTAATACTGTTCACATATCTTAAATTTGCTATATACAATATAGAAAAGGGAAATTCTATAGATTTCTAAAATGGCAAACAATAAAGGATTCAACAGAAATAGTTTGGCAAAAAAATAAAAAATTCAAACAACTCCATTCGTGAAATTAGTTTTAGGCTGTCACTTTCTCACTTCGTAAAAGTAAAGTTAAATATACCGTGTCTAAATGTTGTTGTCATCTACAAAAGATTTTTGCACCACAGGTAATGCTAATGTCTCATCGACGGACACTCGTTAAGTACTGTGCTAATTTGCCCGTATACAGGTAAACAAGACTATAACTAACGCTATTTAATGCGCCAGCAATGACAGCTTCACTCGATAATAACCTTCGCAAAACTCAGACGAGCTCATTACACAAAACTTTGCACCAGCAGGGTAAGTCCTTTCAGATTCACTATACGAAGCGTACTTTTCTATATTTTTTGGCTGCCACGCACACTTCGCACTGTTGTCTATTACAAACAAAACAATATTTTCGCCTGGAGAATTTTCAACTGTCGGAAAACTTTGAGCGTTTACCTCATCTTTTGTTGAGGAAACTACAGATTGCCAGTAGAAAACCGTACCTCTTGTATACATGTTTACATCCTCCATTTTCATTTTCATCTGGCGGTACGTTGTTCCACTTTCAGGGGTTAGTTTGTCCCAAAAGAGCAATAGCATTTGGTACATGACAGTATACGGTCCAAGAGCCAGGTCATCTCCTGTTGGCTGGTAATTGGTACTTGTCTGTCTTCGCATAGCCATACTGATGTAATTGTAAAGGAAATTGGTTTCGATACTGTATGCCTTTACAATCATCTTATAGAAATCTTCTTTAGTAGTGGTGTTTTCTATCATAATAGCATTTGCCTCGGATACAACAAACATAGAATCGCATACTTGTTTTTTCACCGCATCAAACCTTTGTTTGCTTCTATTCATATCCATCCAGATCGTATGTAAGATTTCCAGACCTGTTGCAAAAGGAGTAATTACGCCAGGATGAAATGTGGCTTTATATGAGGCAATGGTATTGCTTAGAAGTCCCAAATATAGTTCTCTCTGAAATGTGTATAGTTTTTGACCCATCATATTACATTTGTGTGCTGATAGTATTCTATCCATGTCCGGGCGTTTGAATGCTCTTGCAATATCTAATGCACGCATTCCACTCGTGTCCCCGCATTCTGATGTGCACCTCTTTGTGCGCATATCGGCATCACAAGCTTCATATTTTAGTAGTTTATTCAGGACATCTTTTTTATTCCAAAACGTCACTTGATGTATAACTCCCCAACGGCGTGAATCAGGAATACAGTTCAACAAATGAGCTTTTTTCGTCTTGTTCGGTTCGCCAATAATTTCCCATACCCGACCAAAGTTTCCATTTTTCGCCGAAAGAACCAAGTCATTAATCAATTTTGACTCCTCTTCAATGCCATTGAAGGAACTGAAAAATACATATCTTTTTTCAGTCCTTTAAGAATATCATAATTTAAAAGAAATAATCATATAAATAGATCTATAGTACTTAGCTATAGCGTTCATTATATTTAAGCTAAATAAAACCATTCTTTTAACTTTAAAAGATGACTTTGTTTTGTTTTGCTTGGTAAAATAGAACCTACCTGTTTGAAACTCCCATCCTTCACTGGCATTGGATAAAAAAGGTTTGATTTTAAACTCTAAAAAATTGTCATTTATATTTTTAGATATGCGTAGTAATTGATCAGGTTTCTGAATCGAAAATAGGTTAGTATGGCACGTTCAAAAATAAGAACACATCGACTCTATATTTAAGACATTATTACATTATTGCCTCTAAAACAGGGTTTTCTGTTAAACTGTTTGCTCTTTATTCTTAAATTAAAAAATGTAAATTGTGAAAATTCGTCCATAATAACGATTTAATTTGTGCAAATATGTGTTGGTATTTTTGACATCATATACATAAACTAACAAAATGGCAGAATCATGTGACTAAAATAATTCCAATATGTCGTCTAATTATGAAAGAGGTCTATTTCGAAGCATAATAGCCGGGGATACTGTTGTTGATCTGTATTATTTCTATGACCTGTCTTGTGTGTGTGTGTGTGTTGAGTTTATTTACCCTCGCCACCGGTTTAAAACCATATGGGCGAGCATATGCTTCATTTATTAAAGGGAAAACACTTTGTTTAGTTAATATCTGCATATGTGACTAGTGAGTACAATATTTCCTGCCCCAACAATGCAAAATAATTGCATTGAATGGGGCCGGAAAACGGTGGGATTATATCCCACACTAAGATTAAAAAGCTGTATTTAAAATTTAAACTTAAATTAAAAAGGGGGGAAGACGCTTATACGCGGACGTCTTCTATATAGGAAACAAAAAAACCCTAATAATTATGTTTAATGATAGCTTCATTTATTGCAAATCATATTTATAATGTTAAAACAAATATTAAAATGGGGGAAGACGCTTATACGCGTACGCCTTCTATAACAGACCAACACAGTTAGATTTGTAGATCTTAGTTTTTTAAACTTTATTTAACACATGAGAAGGTTTATAAGTATAAACCTTAGCAACACGCCTGAGAACATAGTTGTTTACAATTTGGCCATCATTTAATACAATTACTTTTCGTAGGGAGAACAATGCAGAAACGATTTTGACAGATAGCGCCGAACCACGTTTAGTAGGTAAATTTTGATTGGCCGAAAAATGTTGTGATTTGTATGGCTAATTTAAAAGAGATGATATGAAATGATTGGTTGATAGTAAACTGATTTCATTGGCGCATTTACTATCCGATTTTGGAGCTTAGCTTGAAGAATTTTGTGATCTAAACCACGTGGTCTCTGTATTGACATTTCTGCACTGTCTCCCATATAATGCTAAAAATAGTAACAACGGTGCCTGTTGAGACCAACCACGACACCGCTGTTTAATTATTTAAAAACAAGGAGGGGGATGGTACTGCTATAGTTGGAACATGATCTTATAAGAATAACAATGATATTCAGTACTTATATTGTTATTCTAGACTCTCTATAGACCTATACAAAAAGAATATAGAGAGATAGAAAATTTATACCCTGAAATGGCTATTAATAAATTGCTTGGTTACCTACAATGTGATGAGTACTGCTTTTTAGAGAAGAAAAAAGCTGCCTCATACTTGTTCTACTCAATGAATTAACGTATGCTCCATTTTTGTCATTGAGTAGATCACAGTATAAACTGTTTTATATAATGTTTATTTATATGGGTACAATCTGATATGGAGTCTTTGCTGACATTAAGGTTGTCTTTAAGAAACAAAGAACAGCATTATAATCCATAAGGACTGGTTATGCTAGTTTTGATATAGAATAAGACATCCTTAATGTGATGAAGTCCTCTTACTAACAAATAAAAGAGGATTTCATACTTGATTGAGCCCTATATAGCCTTTGCTCCATATTATTGAATAGGGCTCAATTTTAACATATAGTATGTTATAGATTGTACCCTATATAAGAATGAATAAAAATTAAGAAGATATTTTATATATTATATATTTACAAACAGACCAGCTGTTTATTATTTACAAGGGATAAAAATATAGATAGGAGGTATAAAATGGAGTCTTTATGTGACATTGTAGGTATCATGTAGCCACAACCCAATTTTGATTGATCATGTACCAGGGACAATAAAAATAAGTGATAGTGTACAGTCAGTATTTAAGAAATATGTATTAAAATGTATTCAAAATGTAAATAAATAAGCAATATATAGTTATCTCACCGTTTAACGGCCACTTTTTAGGACCACTTTTAAAATTTAATTACATGTAATAAAAGAAACAATAGATTATTTACAATAAAAAGTGTCTGACCTATACACTATTACAACTTTTAAAAAATTTATATTTAATGGAGCTCATAAAATTTATCACAAGAATAGAACAAACTGAAAACAATAAAGTAATGATGGCAACACCCATTGGCAGGTAATTGGAAAATGTGTACACCTATATGAAAATACCATATTTTACATTAATAAAGCTGGCTCTCTTGGAGCTAAATGATAATAAGATGAAATAAAACAATACCAATTAAAGTTATTCATGGAGGAAATATGTACCCAAGGAAGGACAAACCACAAATTACCTAAAAATAGCACCATTAGAATAGGTATTAAACTAATACCAAATTACAAATGTATCTATGTGTGTTTCTACTATATGGAAACAGTTAAATATTTAATTAGGACAGCCTGGGGTCAAGTTTCCCTGAGGTACGGCCTGTCCACACGCTCAGTTCAGCCCGCCCCATATCTGTCCCTATCAAAATCTAATTGGAATATTTTATATAACATTTAAATTCTACTCTGGCACCCAGGTTGGTAAAAAATGTAAACAGATTTCAATATTTTCATGTACAATGTTGGTTTCCCCTCTGACAGGTTATAATTTTTATGTTTCTATGTACATGTATAGAATTTCATTTATTACAGTAATTGGGGACACTTTGCCATTTATTCTCCTTAAAATTCATTTGTAATACATTTCATATGTTCCTTAATAGTTGAACTAAGTATGATTATAGAGTAAAACCAATAATAACCCAAAAATTCAAGTAGTGGGAGGACAACTCCTACTTATACCAGAAATTTGCCTTTTCTAGCTATAATTCTTATTTTCCTCCTATCCTATTATCAAATATTATGTTAAACTTGTTAAAATTACATATTTATATCCTAAATAGATCATATTATAACCATTTGATCTTATTATAGCCATTATTGATTATATCAAACAGCAAATTTAGAAAATAGACATCATTAGTCCAAATTTGAGTTGCTTCCCTTGTACTATTATCTGAAATTTAGTGATTTAAATATTAAGTTTATGTGTCATAGGTAATTGGCCATATCTTCTTTAATTTTTAATGAATTTTGATGGGATTTTCTTTATTATCTCATTAAAAGATTGCCCTTAATTATTATAGTGATGTGGTATTTGTAAATAAAGAACTTTTCCCTTTGGGGGAGTTTAAGTTGGTGAGATTTTCTTGTTTATTGTTAAATTGACTATTTACCACATATTTGATATGCTGTATAGGGAAATAACTATAATTTTTTTAATAAACCACAAAAATTAATGAAAATTCTTTTAATTAGACCCTTAATGGTGTTAGTTAATTATTATTTATTAATAGTATAGATATTTCAATTGTATTTGGGTTTTATTCTTGGTATTACTGGGTCATATTATATCAATAAATAGAGATTTCACTGATTTTTATAAATATCTCTATTATGAGTAATATACTGTCATAGATGCTAATTAAGCATTTTTTGGCTGAACTAGCTTATAATCAAGTTTAAATCTAATGATTTGAGTTACCAATTAGCCATTAGTAAAAATTGGATACTTGTTTACTATATTTGATATTGTCAAAACTATAAATTCATAACAAGGAACAGGGGACTGAGTATGCAAACTGGGTCCCATTAACACCTAATGATAAATTAAAGTGAGGTATACAAATAATGCAGTCTTTATATTAATGTCAGAGGGGAGGAAAAGTATGATTTTACATTAAAGGCCAATCATGACTTCATATTTTAATTTGACTGCTGGGATCAAGGTCACAGTTGTATTTGGACAAATAAATTAACATTAAAGCCCCATCACTCAATTAATTAGTGATATGGGTTATTATTTGTTTAAATTTTATCTGTTAGACAACAGTTTAGAATAAATAACTCTAAAGCTTTAAAAATGTGTACTGAGTATTTCTTTGGTGGACTCAGTATATTTTGTGTGTTATATCCCAAACCTACAGCACCAAGTGCCGACCGCAGTTCATTTCTATGGTCCCTGAACTGGTCACACTCATGCAATAGGTGGGATATATTGTATCTCACTCCACATTGGGCACAATTGGGACTCATTTTCTTGATATATTGGCCAGAATCCCCTGGTAATAGGGTTGTGCCCAACCTCAGTCTTGTTATGGCTCTATCTATTTTTAAATTATTTGAGTATTGAACTGGGTGACTGAGCCCCACTGAGCTATTTATATGTTTCCTCTGATCCTGGCAGGAATTGGATTCAGCTTGCCACAAGTGAACTATATATTTTTTTAATTTTGGAATATATCTCAGTGGGGGAGAGTGAGATTGATTCAGGGACATTGTTGAGGTTTAAGCCCATTTTGGCCGCCCTGTCTGCCTGTTCATTGCCTGAGATCCCTATATGTGCTGGACACCAAACTATGGTAACCTGTTTTCCTAGGTTTAGGACTTTATTATATAATAGAATTATTTCATTTAATAAATCTGGTCTCGACTGACTGTTGTTGGATTTCAGTGAGATCAGTGAAGAAAGTGAATCCAAGAAAATGACAGCTTTTATTATATCACTGTCATGAATCCAGCACATAGCATTTCTAATAGCAATGAGCTCGGCGGTATAGATGGATGTATTATTGGTTAACCTATCAATTTTTTCATATTGTATGGAAGGTATGACTACTGCCGAGGCAACCCTGCCAGAGTCCGGGTCCTTTGATCCATCAGTATAAATGTGTGTTTGACCTATATATTTGTTAATTAAAATTTTTGTTTCTGTATTTGCGAGATGCGGCAAATCAGATTTGTTCACTTTTTCTTGT